CCAAGGATGACTTCATCTTACATACTTTGGCCAAATGGGTGGACAGATGGCTGTAACAAATACAACTATCTCTGTTCACAGAAAACATAATATTCATGTAGACAATCCAACAGAACCTACAAAAAAAAATACTAGTAATTAGCAAGTTTCACTCAAACTCACTGTCATCAAGTCAGTGTCATCTTAGCTTTGCCAGTGTCATCAGTGCTTTGCCAAGGCTGTAAATCATGTCGGGAAGACCCTGCTCATCGTTCTCCTGATGGTGAATTCAAACTGCCGGAGACACCTGGCCTCTCATTAGCAGTGCAGCTCCCTGCAGACTACACCACCAGGGCTCCCTTTGGCAAGGTCACAGGATACAACTTCAATATGTAGAAATCACTCTAAGTTCTCTATATTAGTAATCAACAGCTGCAACTTGAAATATTTGAAATTCTCATTTCTAGTAACATCAAACAAATTTACGTGCTCAGAAATAACCTGACAAACGATGTGACAACCCTCTACCTTGAAAACTATAAAACATTGCTGAGAGAAATTAAAGACCTTAATCAATATGATATATCTTAGTCACAGGTCAGAGTATTTTGCAGAGGGTGCAGCAAGAGTGCTCTTTGGAGGCAAAGATGATGAGGCTTCGCCTCACATACTTCGGGCATGTTGCTAAGAGGGGTTATTCCTTGGGGAGGGGCATGAGCTCAGAAAGGTGGAAAGTCAGTAAAGGAGAGGAAGACTCTTGACCAGGTGGACTGACAGGGTGACTGCTACAATGGTCTCTAATGTGTCAGGAAGTATGAGGACGGCACAGGACAGGACAGGGTTCAGAACTGTTGTTCATAGGGTGGCTATGGGTCATACTTGACTCGACATCACCTTACAACAGCATGGATCAGAAGACTGGATAATGATACAATATCAATTTCTCCCTAAAATGATCTGAATACCTGGTGTAATCACATCAATATTCTATCAGGCTTTTTTTTGCAGTAATTGACAAAACGATTCTAAAATTCATATGGAAAGGAAGGGTGGGAAAAGAACAAAATTTGAAGACTCACACTAAATGACTTCAGGATTTATTATAGAGCTAGAGTAATCAGTACAGTCTAGCACTGGCCAAAAAGCAAAATCAGTGAAACAAGAGAGACACTCCTGAAACAGACCAGTAGGTATGAGGATGACTGGTTTTCAACAGAAATGCAAAGTCAATTCAGTGGGAAAAGGACAGTCTTTCCACCAATGATGCTGAGACAATGAACTTGGACTCATACCGTGGGAGAAAATACTGACAAGTCACCTGATAAAGGACGTTTATCCAGAAGGAATTATCAACAGTCAATAAAACAAACAGCCCAATTTTCTTTAAATCAGAGGGCAAAATATTGGAGCAGGACCTTACCCCAGAACAGAACTGTGGCTGCAAAAAGCAGGGGCTGGCAATGGAAGCTGCCATGGGCAGTAAAACTTCTCATTAGTACTCCACCTCAAGTGATGCCCAGGGAGCGTGACTTAACCTGCCATGACCAGAACTCTGCCCCGGAAGAAATACAGATGACATAAAAGCACATAAAAAGGTGCTCAACATTATTAGTCATTAAGAAGATGCAAATTAATAAGACAAAGAAACACGATAACACACATGTTGTTAGATGCTATCAAATCAACTCATAAAACCCTGTGAACAGCAGATCTGAACCTTGCCCTGTCCTGTGCCAGCCTTGCCATCCCTGACACACTCCAGCCCATAATTATAGTCACCATGTCAATCCATCTTGTTGAGTCTTCCTTTCATTCACTGATCCTCACCATCCTTGTCTCTAAGGAGCACTCTGGTTGAACTTCCTCCAAGACAGATTTGCTTGTTCTTTTGGAAGTCCGTGTTATATTTAGTACTCTTTGCTGACACTGCAATTTGAAGGCATATCTATTCGCATGCGTAATATCTTTAAAGTTGACCTCATCAAATGCTGATGAATGTATAGAGGAACTAGAATGCTCCTCCACTTCTGATAGAGATGCGAAATGGCATAACCACTTTGGAAAACATTGTTCATGTCTTAAAAATCCAAACTCATACCTACCCTATGATCCAACTATTCAACTTCTAGTACTTAGCAAGAGAAAAGGAGCTGCGTGCCCACACGGACTATCCTCTTCATGACTAATGGTCCAAAGCTGGAAGCAATCTAAATGTTCATCATTAGATGAACTGATAAACTAACCATGGTCTATCATACAATGGAACATGGCTCAGGAATAAGGAGAAATAAACAACTGAAACATGTAACAACAACATGAATGAAGCACAAAATAATTAGGCTGAGTGAAAGATGCCAGCCCAAAAGAAGAGTACATACTGTATGATTCAATTTCTGTAGCACTGTAGGAAATGCTAAATGAGGTAAGGTGTAGTTGCCAAGGGATGAGGTGGGCATGTGAGGAGGGAATAAAAGACTGCGAAGAGGAATAAAGACAACTTTCTTGAGCATCATGAAAGTCCCCTGTCTTCAGCGTGATGATAGGATCACAGGTGCATCCAGATGTTAGAACGTACCACACAATGCACTTAAATGTGAACATTTTCTGGAGATAAATTGCATCTCAACAAAACTGTTTTAAATAGATTAATGGTAAAACCTAGTGGAAAAGCACTCTTTCTAGCTCTATGGCCTTAAGCAAGTTGCTAACTCTCTGGTTTGCTGAGCTTGAAAGCAATAGTATTACATCCCTTGCAGGGTTGTAATTAAAAATATATTATCAATTAAAAATTATAACTGGTTAGACATGCTTTGTGCAAAGTAGATGTTCAGCAAATTATAGCAGTAATAATCCCTTGACACTAAAATGCCATCCAGCACGTGTATCTGGAGGGATTTTGATGGATGTCCTCCATCTCTCAACTCCTCAGAAAGTCACAGTTTTACATCTTATGACGTAGAGTTTCTCTCACAGTAAAACCCAGCCCACTCATCTCTCTGACTCCCCCACGCCCTGCTAATTTCTTCACAGTTTAAAGGAGACCCCCTTAGTCTTCACCCTCCAGCACACAACCTCGTCACCTACAACCACGTGACCACCTGTCTCTTCCTCTTCCCCTAGTTTTGGGTCTTTATTTTGAGTCACTGATACTGGAAGAGATTGGTCATTCAGATAACTCTCGTGGGAATACTGAGAAAGAGAATGTATGTCAAGGCCCAGCCTAAATCCTGGCACGTTGACACACATGTAAACGTTAGTAGCTGTAGGTATGCTTGATGGGGGTGAGATGGAGGTGAGGTCATAGGTCTGACTCTTGTGTCATCTTCACACAACTGGAGGGCTCCACAGTGGTCTTTGGGCCAACAGTTTCTAATCCTGTCCTAGGCAAGTGGGAGAAAAAGGGTAGTTATCCTTCCTGCCTTCAAAGGGTTTATGATTACAAGAAATAGCTGCTTCACTAATTGGGCAAAATAACATATAAATAGAGCATGCAGGAACCTCTGTGTTTATGTGTGTATGTGTGTTTGTAACCTCTTTAACACAGCCCTTGGCATGTAATCAGACCATAGTGAGCGTTTTTTGATTGAACAAGTGAGCCTCAGATGGTTAGAAATAAAGAAGAGAGCACCAGGGAAGGCAGGTTTGTCAATAGGTCAATAGGAGAGTCCTTGCCTGGAATAAGGCTTAGCTCCAGAACAGTTAGTAATGTGATTGGATGCAGCATGGAGAATGGCGGTATGAAGAGTTGGACAGAGGCCCTCCCAAGAGGGCAGGTGGCCCCAGCAGGCTGGTCCGTGGGTCTTCCTTTGTCTCTGCTGGGTCTTCAGTAGTTATGGACACTGGTTTATCAGACAATCTGAGCTGAGCTGAGTAGAGACTCTCATCTCCTAGAGCCTTCTCCCACACATATTTGGGTACTCACTCTGAGGAGAACTAGAGTTTCCCTTTTCCTGCAGCAAGAACCCCATTCTTGGCTAGAGGAGAGCTGGGGAGCCTTCTCACAGGGTTTTGCTGATCCCACATTCTCACACACTCATCTCCACACACACACACATACATACATACATGCCACTCACTCAGTTTCACAGTTGCTTCTGAGCACCAGAGAGCTAGTAGCAAAATCAACCAGAAACTCCTCATATTTGAGCCAGTCAGTAAGAAGTAGATGTGGTAGCAGACTGTGGTGACTACAGGCCCATGATGCATTTGGGGACAGGAGCCGGCTGGCTCCCCTTTCATGGGGTAGTTGGTGGCCTGGAGCTGGGACACCTAGCTCAGAGCTTCAAGACAGAGTATTGCAATAGCAGATGTGCTTAGCACCTCAGGGTGCCCCTCTCTTTTGAACCCTTAGAACCCTCACCTGTGCCACTTTAGATCGTTTAGAGTTTCTGGAATCAATCCACAGCTTGAGGAAAAGTTCCACCATCCCAAACCAGAAGCCCATTTCCCATTTGACCAGTGCACGGAGGTCTGTGGATGTCCAGTATCCCCTTGTTAGAGCCCTCCCAGGCAGCCTCGCTCCTGACCCTGGTTTAGAGAAAAGTGTACCCTCCCTTTAAGGAACATTCCAACAGAGCCCTGAGGACTGTGCTGAAGTGAGGTTCTGAACAAAGAGCGAGCACCATTTCTTTCTGCACAGCCATCAAGAGTGGGGCTTTCATCTGATTAGAAACAGATTGGAGCACGAGTCCTCTGGAGAAATGCTTCTTTATCTAGTGCTCTGGACTGGATAAGAAAGAATTCCAATCTCTTCTCTGCCATCCAGCAAAGCGGCCTCCTCTCCTCTACTTCCTGGCTGCCCCCAACCCTTGCCCCAACTCAGAGCCTTGTTTCTCTTACCTGGGCACCCCAGGCAGCAGCCACAAGGCCTGCAGGTTGGAATCTGAGCTTGGAAAGCCCCTCTGGCCCGAATGTGCATGCAGATCTACGGCTGAGCCTGTGTGTGCGCGCGCGCGTGAACTTGCACATAAGCGTTTGTGACCGAAATCGCTTCTGGAGCATGTTGCCCTCTGCCCATCCAGGTTACTCCTCGCTGCAGGACGAGCTGCTGTCCCCTGCCTCCCTGCACTACATGCTTCCCTCTCCGCTGTATGCAGACCAGTACTGGAACGAAGTCCCCCTGGCCGCCACGGAGCATGACGCCATGCTGGAGATGTCTGACATGCAGGTGTGGTCCTCGGGCCTCACACCCTCCCTGGTCACTGCTGAGGACTCCTCTCTGGAGTGCAGCAAGGCCGAGGATTCTGATGCCACGGGCCACGAGTGGAAGTTGGAGGGGGCGCTCTCTGAGGAACCGCAGGGCCCCGAGCTGGGCTCTCTGGACCTTGTGGAGGACGACACAGTGGATTCAGATGCCACAAATGGCCTTACCGATTTACTTGACCCGGAGGAAGGTCAGAGGTCAGAAGAGAAGCGGCCAGGCTCTAAGAGGCAGGATGACTCAACAGGTGCAGGGCAGGACTCAGAGAATCAAGTGTCTCTTGTTGCAGGCCAGCAGAGGGTGCAAGCCCGAATCACAGAATCCCCCACCGTGAGTCGGGTGATGGACAGGAGCCAGGACAGGTAAGGACTTTGCCGCTGTGGCGGGGGTGACATAAATCGGCCTGGGCTTCTGGGGAAGGAGTGTGTGTGTGTGTGTGTGTGTGTGTGTGTGTGTGTGTGTGTGTGTGGCAGCGTGTACAGAGGGAGTTCTTAATCAGAGAAATGGATTGACACGGTGACCGCAGCTATGGGCTCAAGTGGGTCTGAACATGGCACAGGACAGGACAGGGTTCAGATCCTTTGTTCATAGGGTCACTGTGAGTTGCATTTGACTCATCAGCACCTAACAACAATAACCCCAACAGAGTCCTAAATGTCCTCGAGCAAATAAACTCAGTAAGACACCAACGAGGTGGTTCAGGATTCGATTGCTAACTAATTGCTAATCCCCCAGTCTCTTTGTTGGAGATAGATGGGGAAGTCTACTTCTGTAAAGATGTGCAGCTTTGGAAACCATGTGGGGCCCATCTACTCTGTCCTGTGGGGCACTATGAGCTGGAATCAACCTGGTGGCACACAGCTTGCCACCAGCTTGCTCGCTCAGCCCTTATCCAGGACTGATCTAGCAGTTTCACTGCTGATCCAAAGGCCATGTCTCTGGTGGATCTAATCCACCAGCAGTCCCTGGAGGGAAAGGTTAGCCATTTCACGCCATGCCATCTGCAGTCTCAGAGGGGCAGCTATGAGTCAGTTCCAACTTGAAGCCAATGAGGTTTTGAGGTTTTTAATATTGATGGTGAACCACACAGACCAGTCCTTTCCCAAGACCCTGCAGACCAGCTGAGGTAGAAGAGAGGCTGAGGGAGGGGAGAGGGTACATAGGAGAGGGAATGAAGGCGGATGAAACAACATTCTAAAATGCGACTGGAGCTGGGGCTCACAGTGCCCGTCATTACTGCGTAATTAGTGGTTAGGGCCGTTTTTAGAAACAAGGATGCAGCGATCACATGTGTGGTCATACAGTCTGTGGGTGCCAGAGCTGATGGTGATGCCCCTTCTATTAGACTCCTTCAGGAGAGACTGGTGCGCTTGTCTGGGGGAATGAGGTAGAAGTAGACCACCTGTACTCTTCTGGAATGGTCATTCCTCTGGCTGCACTCTGAGCAAGCTTCTGGTGGTGCAGAGGAGTGGCACTGAGGGTCACGAAGAGCCACGCTAACAGTTTGGGCAGAGGGCTTTATTCAGACCCCAAGAGCACTCTGGCTGAGAGCCGGTTCCTTTTTCTCTTCTCTCCGCTCATGCGTGGACTGCCAGCACATACCTCCCACTGTGCTGAGTACAGAGGAGGGTAGAGTGGCAGAGGCCTGCTCCTCTATATTTCTTCCTACATTTTTGCTAAAGCAAAGAGACAGCTCTTCTGCTCCCAGAAGGTAGTGGCCACCCGAGGAGGCCTGACGGACAATTATCCTCTTTCCCTCTTCTTGTCCACGTTGCTCCTTGGAGCCACACTGAAGCGCAGACAGGGCAGGCCGTTCCCCAGGATCCCTACAATGTGGCCTGGATACTGTAGTAGGAGGGAGAAGAACATAGTTTAGGAGATGAGATGACAAAAATTTATTCTATTTCCTACAAGAATCCTCTGGGAATGGAAAGGTTAGACCAATGAGGGTTCACAGTGACATCCTGGCATTCCTGTAAAAGAGGCCATCTTCCAACAACCAGTGATGATTATTCGTCCACTAGCTGTTGCTAATGTAAATGACTTAATATTTACTATCGTGGCCATGTAATAATAGCCGACTTGCTAGATGGGGAACTAAAAGGCCTGGACGTTGGCCTACTTCCCATCACATCTGGCTCTGTGACCTTGGCAAGCCTTTCAGGAGGGACAGAGGACTTTCTTCCACTGAGTCAACTATACTTCTTGAGGACCTACTATGTGCTGACAGAGCCCTGGTGGCGTGGTGGTGAAAGCACTCAACTGCTAGCCAGACACTCATTGGTTCTAACTTGCCAGCTGTCCCATGGGAGGAGAATTCGGCAGTCCACCTCCATGAAGATTATATCCTTGAAGACTCTATGCAGAAGTTCCCCTCTGTCCTCCAGTGGCCTTATTACCTGAAGCTGGTTCACCAGCAGTGGGGGCAGTTTTGCTTTCCATGTGCTGAACATTATTCTTTTTCTCTAGGTGCGAGGGACTAGGGCATCAAACAAAATAGACAAAATAGTATGGACTAAAAGTGTAGCTAACTGGCCATCGAAAGCCCCACTGAGTAACATTTGAAAGAAAGCTTTAAGTTAGGTGAGCCAAGTGAGTATCTACTGGGAAAGTATTATAGAAAGAACAGGCAGTGCAGAGGCCTTGGAGTGGAGCGGGCCTTGACAGTTAGTGAGCAGGGAGAAGGTCCTTGTGCTTAGAGCAACGTGAACAAGGGAAGTGAGGTGAGTGAGGTAAGGGGGCCAGACCTTTAGGGCCTTGAGGTCCTAGAAAAGACTTTGGTATTTATTGAGAGTAGAGGGGCACTATTGAGGCAAGGGAGTGATGTGATCTGCTAAATATTTTTACAGACTCCCTCTGAAATTGCCTTGAGAATAGCCTGGCATGGCTAGGTTGAAGCAAAGAGGTAGTTTGGGAAGAACTGATGGTGAAACAAATGAAGATGGTAGCAATGATCATATGAAGAAGTGGTTGAATTCATGATACAGTTTTAAAAGAGGAAACAAAAATATAAGATTAAGAAAGATGTGAAATCAGAGAGAGAGAGGGATTGAGGATGGCACTGGTACCCTTGACCTGAACAATTATAATGGAGGAAATGTTGAAGCCGCTTTGAAGTTCAAAGTAAAGAGCTGGGGACCCGATTGAGTGTGCACATTAGCAGTTCAAGCAAGACATACATTTGATTTGGACATTATGAGAATATTGTTGTTAAGTGCCATCGAGTCAGTTTCACCTCACAGCAAGCCTGTAGACAACAGAATGAAACAGTGCCCTGTTTCCTTAACCTCACCATGTATGAACCCAGTGTTGCAGCTGCTGTGCCAATCCATCTTGTTGGAGATCTTTTTAGCTGACCTCCACTTTACCAAGCACTGTGTCCTTCTCCAAGAACTAGCTGTGGTCTAAATGAATGTGCTCACTAAGGAATTGTTGTAGTAGATGAAAGACCCAAGCCCTGAAGCCTGGGGCACTCCAGTGTTCAGAAGTCAGAGAAATTAGGAGAAACCGAACATCTTAGGACAGTTGACCACATTAAGCTCAGATAACCAGGCAAATGAGATGTCCTGGAAGCAACAAAAGAACATGTTGTGAAGAGGATGAAGGAACAGAGGTGGCAGGTGAAGACTGAGAGCTATTTAGGAACTATCATACTCAGCAAGGGAAGAGGGGACTGGCGACCCTCTACTGGCCACAATGCCCGAGGAATGAGAATGTGCAAAAGAAAGTAACACTAAGGAGCAAGGATGGAAAGGTTTTCTGGAATGAGAAGCAGAGAAAAATGGTGGTACTTAGGAAAATCAGTTCAAGAAGATAAGTCTCTGTGTATGTGTGTGTATGAAAAAAAAAATAAATAAATAGCAGCTGTGGCAGCTGCTGGTCGCTGTGAGTCAGAATCTGCTCAGCGGCAGTGGATTTGGGTTTTATGTTTTGGGAACAGATCCTGTAGAGGAGGAAGTGTTGCTGCAGGAGAGAGAGGGAGGCTCACATCCTTTCTGGAGAACGCACACCCCAGCCAATGGGCCCAAGTCCCAGGGATTAGATGTTCTGTCGGTGGGAGTGCAGAGCAATTCTCTCACGGTTTCTTGGCTTGTCATGTAAAATAGGAAACAACATATTTTGAAGGTGTGAGAGAAAAGAAAAAAGTAACTGTCAAGGGAGGGCCTGGGCCCAGGAGGATGGTGTATTTGCCAGGCAATGCTGGAGGGGCCACTTGACACTGTCTGTCACTGAGCTCTGTGGAGTCAATTTAGACACACATTAGACTCACTGCCCCATTGAGTTTCCTAGTCTATGATCTCTCAGAAGCAGATCACCAAGTGTTTGTCCCAAGGAACTTGTGGGTGAGTTCCCACCACTAAGCTTTTAGTTAGCATTCCAGTACTTAATCAGCACACCACCAGGACTGTCAGGTTGTGGTAGTGGGCAAATTCCAAGCTTGAACAATCAGGGTGGGTTTTATTTCTGTTCAGCTGTGTGCAGAGGCATCCCTAGTGCACAGAGAGAGGAGAGGATATAGTTTGACCAAGTAGAAAGTAGGGGAGAGAGTATACAAGGTAGTAAGCAGGACTCATCGAACTTAGGCTGTGTAAGGAGGGAGATATCAGGGATATTGATGGTTCAAGAGCAGAATTCTTGCTTTTAATATGAGATACCCAGGTTCAATTCCTGGCCAATGCACAGCCATCACGACCCATCTATCAAAGCCTGCTGCCATGATGATAAGCAGATTTCAGTGGTGCTTCTAGTTGAACTAGGAAAAAAGGTCTGGTGATCCACTTTCAAAAATCAGTCAGTGACAATTTAACGAATCACAACAGTTTAATCCACAATTGATCCTGACCATGGGATTGGCCCCAAATCAAGCAACACATCATTAAGTCGTGTTCGAGGTTGCAGGAGTTTGGGGCCAACTTTACAGCAGCTAACAGCAGTAAAGGGAGGAGAATGTGAGGACACTGGACTGAAGGTCTTGATGTAGGATCAATCCAAGGTTGTTGGGGTCAGAATTCTAGAGGCAGTGAACTGAAATAAAGGAGGAGCTGGTCGAGAGAACATCGGAGTTGAAACTGAGATAATGGAAGAGAGGCAGTTAGTGAAAGACATTAAGTTTGAGGCTATTAATATGAGGGTGAGACAAGGAGATCAGGCAGAGGTCATGATCATCAGAGGAGGTGAGGTCAAGGAACAGGAGGCCAAGGTGCCAGATATTGAAATGGACTATTTTGACATGAGTTGTCTTGAAGAATTGAGAGAGTGGCCTGGAGGACAGGCGGGAAGATGGGTAGAATCATCTGAGGATGTGAAATGTAAAGGCAGAGGCAGTGCTAGTAGGACCAACAATTCAGGCAAAGTTCCCTGGGATCCCAGAGTGGGGGAACTTCTCACCAAAAGAGAGGGGACCAGTGGTCCTGGGATCCATAGCCCTTTCCACTAGTTCTGTGGGGGTAGGCCATGTCATGCTCTGGAGCTGAAGAGAATTTTCTTAGTTCCCTCATCCTTAGATAAGCAATATAGGCATATGGATGGATGGATCAGAGCTCTGCGTGGGAGAAGGGTCTGGGAGAGCAAATACTGGAAGGTAATTAGGTGTTTTTTCTCTCTCCCCAACCACTCCTGTCTCCTTCTCCTGCACTTCAGACAACAGGACTGGGATGGGGAAGGCTCCATTGTCTCCTACCTACAAGGTGCTGCAGAAAGTTCTAGGCAAGAGGAGATCTTGAGAGGCCCACACTCATTCCAGACAATGGTCACCACCACCAAAGTGCTGGAGCCCAGTGGGTCTCAGGAATATGAGAAGGTCCTGGTGTCTGCAACCGAGCACACGCGGATACAGCAGCCGGAGAGCCTCCTGGCCGACCAAGAACCGAGACAGCAAGGCCACTGGGTGGTAAAGGTGAGAGCACCAGATATCTGCCTGCTTCTGCCTGGTCAGTGTCGAGGGGCCTGAGAGGCCCTAGGGCCCCGAGCCAAGCACACTTCAAAACAAAAGAAACAAACAAAAAAATATGGGGATTATTCTTTCTCTAGAAATACAAAAACAAGGTCACTGACTACCGTTTTGTCCCCTTGATCCCTACTATTGGGAAGAGTGGGCTGCCATCTCTAGAGCACTGCTCTTCCCGGGTTACAGCAGATAAACGTGAGTTCAGGGTGGTTGTGACTTTTTCAAGGTTGTGGTTTCAGAAGTGGGCTGGAATTAGGTCCAGCAGACCTCAGAGCCGTGGTTTTTACCTGTTTGCTTTTTCCGTCATGTTTCAGAGAGGGCTTTGAAAGTAGAGACTCGGGTATCAGGTTAACCCTAGTCCTCCCGAGTGTATGACTGACGGCTCCCAGCACCTCAGTCTCCTCACTGGTAATGTGAGCGGGTGCTTGGATGATTACCCACGTTAATCTGGCTCTGAAATTCTCTGATTCTGTGGGTGACCTTTGGGCTGGAGTCACCAAGGATAGTTGGATAGACAGAATTTCCCCCACCCAGGCTCTCTCTTCCCTTCTTCCCATTTCTGGATTTCCTCTCTCAATCCTCCCTCTCATTCTTTCCCTCTCCTTCCCTGTCTTTCCTTTACCTTATTTTATCTGTTTTCTTTTATCTTTACTGTCCTTTCTCATTCCCTTGGCCCCTCCCTATCCCCCTAGTCATCCAGCCTAATTAATAATGTATTAGATGTAAGTTTGTATAAGTTTTACTTGTTGGTTTTTAGCTTGTTGTAATGGACAATTGCAAATAAATATAAAATTAGAATAGGCTGTCTGGCAAGTGCATGAAAAGACGGTAACTCTTGTTGAGACATTCCCTGGTGAGAATGTCAAATGATGGAACCACTATGGAAGGCAGTTTGGCGCTTCCTTAGAAAGTTAAAATTAGAAATACCATTTGATCCAGCAATTCCACTACTAGGTACAGATCCCAAAGAAATAATAGCTGCAACACACACTGCCATGCTCACATCGTGTTTATTGCAGCACTGTTTATAATAGTGAGCTCAGGTGGGAGGCTTAGTGGTCAGAAGTTACACTGCGAACTCAAAGGCAGTTTCCTCCTGGGACATTTACTGCCTCTGAAAACCAACTGGAGAGTCAGATATGAGTTGGTTCCAACTTGAAGGTACATAACAACAACATTTATAGTAGCAAAGAGTTGGAAACAGCCTAAGTGCCCATTAGTGGATGAATCAATTTTCAAAACTGTGGTACATGCACACAACAGAATATTAAGCATCACTAAAAAACAGAGAATTATGATCAAGAATTTGTAAAATGCGGCACAACATGGATAAAACTGTTGTTGTTGTTGTTGTTGTTATGTGCCATCAACTCGTTTGCAACCCTGCTCTATCCTTTGCCATCCTCACTTTCTGACACACCTACTCCCATTACCCCAGTCACTGAATCAATCCATCTCATCGACGGTCTTCCTCTCCTGTGCTGTCCCTCCACCCTCCCAAGCATGACATCCCTCTCCAAGGACTGGTCCCTCCTTGTAACATGTCCAAAGTATGTCAGACAAAGCTTCAGAATCCTTGCCTCCAAGAAGCAACCCGGCTTCACCCTCTCCAGGACAAATCTGTTTGTTCTCCTAGCAGTCCATGGTATATTCAACACTCTTCTCCAGCACCACAGCTCAAAGGCATCAATTCTCTGTCATCCCTAGTCACTGTCCAGCTTTCTGATGCATAGCATGCAATTGTGAAGACTATAGTCTGGGTCAGGTGCACTTTAGTCTCCATCCTGATATCGTTACTCTTCAATACTCTGGAGAGGTCCCTGACTGAATGAAACTAGAACAGACTATCCTGAGTGGCATAAATCAGTCACACAAAAAAAAATCATGGTTTTAACCACTAATATAAAAAGCTATAGTGCAACAATGAATGAATGGAACCCCAAAATCTCTGTAAATGTTTATGAAAATTAATAAAATATAATCATAGAGAAAAAAGCTAAGGAAAGGCTTATACACAGATAGAATCAATTTTGGAAGGTCAACAGACGTGAGAGAGAAGGTAGAAAAATTATTACAGTTCCGTTAAAAACAAAAACAAAAACAAACCACCTAACACTTTCTCTATAAGTTGGAGGCTTATGGTAGCAGTTTCCCTCCCCCTCTGCCCCTGTAGTCCCTTTTCCTTACACCTTTTTTTTTCTTTCAAAAAAAAAGAGAATAGTATATAAATTTCCCATGAGTACTACTCATGGTGTCATTTGTTGCATCTGTACTGCCTCAGTTTCCCCCTCCCTCACCATATTATACAGCAGAAAATTCTAGACTTTAATTAGTATATTTTTTATTTATGGAAGGGAGTTGTTTTGGTTTTTTATAACATTTGCTTTGTCACTTTATGTGTGTGTTTTTAATAAGTGGCATTATATGTCCTATCCATTTTCTTTCTCTCAGCACTGTGTACTGTGCTTCCAGCCCATCAGGGCCCAGAGCTTCTAATTTACTCTTGTTTGGTTTTTTTTTCTTTCTTTCTTTTCTTTTCTTTTTTCTTCTCTTCTCTTTCTTTCTTTCTTTTCTCCCTTCTTTCCTTCTTTCCTACATGAATCTTCATTCTAATTGAGCACCTCTGGGTACTCAGGACTGGGTTTGCTCTAAAATGTCCCTGGCCTCCTGGCTCTGCAGAACTGCCAGGAATTAAATCAAGTTTTATTTAGAATGCCTCCCCGCCAAGTATGTGCTTTCATCAGGACAAGCAGCATGTCCATATTTAACCTGAGCCCATTCCTCGGCCTCTTTTCCATCTGGCAGGTCTTGCCCTGTTGCCCTCAATTATAGGCAGTCGAGGTCTTCTCAAAGCACAGGTGATCATTCTGAGCTCTTTTCCTGGGTCGCTGAGGCAAGAGAAACCAGCTAGAGGGATTCTTCCTACTGCCACTCATTTGGGAGGAGAAGACTTGGGGGTAGGGAGGGAGCAGAGACAGAAAGCAGAACAATTTGAAGAAATTATGGAGAGAAATGTTCTAAGTTACGTTGCCCAGCCCCCTCATCTATACATGAGGAAACTGAGGCCTAGAGAGGCCGAGGGCTTTCCCCAAGGTCGAACAATAAGCCTATGTCAATGCCAGGAAAGCTCAGATCTTTCGGTACCTCATCCAACATTCTTAAATGAGTGAATAGGCCCACCACGCCCAGCCTTCGAATAGAGAATGCCTCCCTGCTGGATTGGATGGCCTGGACACTGCTGTTGACAGCAGCTCTTTGACTGTGGTATGTGGACCGGTGATAGTGAAGTGTGCTTAAGGGATGGTGTGCAAAGTTTCCATCAACCAGCACAGCATTTCCACTGAGTCACTCAAGACGTGAAGTTGGGACAGAGGCCATGTCATTTATAACCCGGGCATATTAAAACAAAAATCCTATTAGCCCAATAAAATAAATGGAAAATTTGTTTAATATATTGTTGCTATTGTTGTTGTTTTGTACTTTCGAGTCAGAATCGACCCACAGCTGACCTTCCAGCAGATTTTCAGAGGCATTTAATTGCACCGGAGGAGTTTGCCCATTCTTCTCCCATGGAGCAGCTGGTGAATTTGAACCACATGCCTTTCTGTTTAATATATTACTTGCAAATCAGGCAACACTTCTGACTAGAAAATCTAGAGTGCCCAAGGAGAAAAGCATTTTCAAAGATTCTTATAACCTGTCCTACTGATATTGCCACGGGAAAAGGCTGGGTAGCAGTGTTTACATTAACAACACTTTACCCATGAACACACCTTCAAGTCCCATCCTGGGAAGTTTCTGTTTCCTGAAGCTTCACAGAGATCATTCTTTAGAAGAGACCCGTGATAAGGCAGAAGGAACCTCTGGTAGCATAGTAGTTAAATGCTCAAGTGCTAACTGAAAGATTGGCAGTTCAAACTCACCAGCAACTCCCCAGAAGAATGATGAGACAGTCAAATTTTGTGAAGATTTACAGGCTTAGCAACTCTGTGGGGTCATCTGCAATGTCCTACAAGATGGCTCTGGGTCAAAAATGGACCCAATGGCAGTGAGTGGAATGAGACAGAAGAGTAAGCGTCTTACTAGGCTATGGTTTGGCTTAAGGTGACTTTTGGGAGACCAGTCTGCTCAAGGCTCAGAGAGATGATCAGGGCAGTGTTCTGGGTGAGCCACCCAACTCCATGCTTCTCAGAGATCTGGCTTCTGTGGGAATTAAAATCTTGTTTCTCAGAAGGCAGGCCTGGAATGACTAGGCCCAGCTGAATTCTCTTAGTATCAGGTGGAAACCTCTGACGCTTCTCTCTGCTTGGACTGGACAACACCCAATACCCCAGTGACCAGCTCTTGTGTGCGTGTCACGGGCATTTGTTCCTCTGCATGCTGTCTTGTTGACCTGAGGCAATTTGTAGCGATGAAACCTGGAAATCTGACGCTTTCATTTACTCCTTCACCTAACCGGGTTACCTCTCTGTGCCTCAGTTTCTTTTGTGTAGAACAGGAAAATTACAGGACCCACATGGTAGGGTTAATATAAGGCTTTAATGAATTCTCTTGTGAAAAGCCCACAAACCAATGCCTGCTGAGCAGTACGCCCCATGAGTGTTCGCTGGTATTATTGACACGAAAAGGCAAAACCCCACGAAGCAGTTACTGTCAAGTCAAATCCAGTTCTGGGCAACCCCACACATGCAAAGTAGCATGACCTGTAAGGTGTTCATGGTCGGGCCCTTTATGGAGTAGATCACTAGCTCTCAGACAGCAGCAGAGTACTTAACCGTTGTGTCACCCACCCACTGCCATGGAGTCGATTCTGACTCGTGGTGATTCTGTAGGAAACGGTAGACTTGTCCCTGTAGAGTCTCCAGGGCTGTAGCCTTTACGGGAGCAGACTGCTACATCCCTTTCTGATGGAACAGCTGGTGGGTTTGAACCACTGACCTTTTGGTTAGTGGCAGGGTGCTTTAACCAGTGTTATCTCCGAGGACCTACTATTATTCACAGTAGTAGCACTCATAAATGCAGTGGTCCTCATAGCAGTCTTGATGAGTTCTAGGGAGAGCATGGTAGCCTCTGATTTATGGATGAGGAAACCGAGGTACAGATAAGGTCCCCAGATTTCCTGAGACCTGGGAGTAAGTTAGTGGCAGGTCAGAGTGCTATGTCTCAGGTCTTTGTCCATTCACCAGGCTGGGCTTCTAGTCTAAGAGGGATAAACGAATCCAGAAAGTGGCATTCCTTGCAGGCACAGCTGTTGCTGCTGCGGTATTTATTAATTAGCTCCGTGAAAGCAAGTTAATATGTGTGGTGCCTGCTCAGTGGCTGTTGATGCCAAGCATCGGAAGAGCCTTGAAGGACAGGCCTTACATGGACATACCAGTTACACGTCTTAGGTCCGGGTTTCCGTGCCCAGTAAAGGAAGAAACCGAATGCCTGCAGGGCCGCTGGGAAGCTAGGCCTCCAGGATTTACGAGTGGCTTCCCTGTGGTTCCCCTACCTGTGCTGCACCCCTGCTGTGTTTATTTGTCTGAGTCTGAGTACATCATCATGTCTGGGACTTTAAAAAATATATTGCCTTAACTCTTCTGGTTCCATTTCTAGGCATGGGGTATGCATCTTTCTGACACAAAGGGAAGTCCCTAGGAACACTTGAGTAACCACATTCATGGGACGTCCCCCCTCTTATCCCTGGGTGAAAGGTGCTCTGGTGACATAGTCCATAGAGAGTTGGGTTACTGACACAAAGGAGGTGCCTCACTGGTAGTTCAAATCGACCAGCAGCTCCTTGGAAGAAAGATGGGTGATTCCCCCCTTCTCCTATAATGTACAGCCTCCAGAGCCCAATGGAGAATCAACTCTGAGTCAGTTCTAACTCGAAGGCAGTGCTTGTTTAATTTGATCCCTGGATGAGAATGTTTTCCTCCCTCCTCCCTCTAGTTCCCCATAAGGACTGCCCCCTCCCCAGGCAAGCAGGAAAAACAGGAGGGTGAGACACTTTTCTGATGGGGTTCTGGAGCAGTGGGGGTGTCACTCACACAGTGACTTTGACATGCGCTCTGGTTCAGAGGACAAATGCACCTGCCGGCTTCCTTCTCGCCTCATTGGACAGCTCCAGCAGCTGGGCTTCGGAGCTAAAATTATAGAAGAGCCTGACGTCACCTGGGCATAGGGGCCAAGTTTGGGGCTGTTCAGCAGGAGGGGCGCTCAGCTCGGACAGTTCTAGTCATAGGGCCTCTGGATCTCCTGTCTTGGGAGAAAGAGAGGCTGAGAGCAAAAACCAGAGGAAGCAACAGTGAGTGGACGAGGCTGCTGGGGCAATCAGGAGTCCCCGAGGAGAATGAGAGGGCGGACTCCTGTGGTGGCCGGGCCCCTGGCTGCACGGGCTGCCGGAGGGCCGGGCTGGTGAAGAGGAGGTGAGGATGTGGACGTTCATCATCCAGCTCCTGGTCAGTCTGGTGCTCCTGGGCTTCTTCCTGGTCAGCTGCCAGAATGTGATGCACATTGTCAAGGGCTCCCTGTGCTTTGTGCTCAAGCACGTCCACCAGGAGCTGGACAAGGAGCTGGGGGAAAGCGAGGGCCTGAGTGACGACGAGGAGACCATCTCCACCAGGGTGGTCCGGCGTCGTGTCTTCTTGAAGGTAAATGCCAGGCAGGCAGGACTGGGCCAGGGGTGGATTTGGGGCTGTGGTGAGGGAAGAGTGGGGGAAAGTGCTAGGATTCAGTCAAGACGTATGCTGGAAGAGAAGGAGCAGAAAGGCCTGAGAGAGGTGCTACACAGAGAGCCAGGTAGACAATGCCTCTTCAGACCTCACAATAGCCTGTGGCGGTTCCAGGCTGTTAGGAGACCTGCTCTTCAGCCTATAGCTTCAGGATGGTGGACAGTTACACGCAGGGCAGCTGAGTGTGCTGAGATATTTTCTAATTGGTATACAGTAATACAAAAGTGAGGTGTCCACCTTCTCCCTCAAGTCTTCCCCCGTTTGTGGTCATCCCTGTTTTGCCTGCTCCCCCAGGGTGGTTGTGAGAATGGCAAACACAAAGCTCTAGCCAGCAGTAGGCCGCACCCCATCTTCAGGCCCCACTGGGGCGTCTCCACCACTCAGTAAGCCATTGGTTTGGCTGCCACAACTTGCTGAGTGGGAGTTTCGCGTGAAGAGTGTTACTGGACGGGTGTATTGCTGCTGCTCTTGCTGTTTTACTGCTTCTCCCTCTTAGTCCCAAATGGTCACTTAGCAACCTCAAGTTTTTACCTTGTCTCTAATTCCAGGGGAATGAGCTTCAGAATATTCCAGGGGAGCAAGTGACCGAGGAACAATTTACGGATGAACAGGGCAACATCATCACCAAGAAGGTGAGTACATTATTAAGATGATTGTAAGGGGAGAAAAAGAAAATCCCAATAGATATGAACAAAATATAAACTAAAGATTGTATAAAACACAGTGTGTACATGCTTGAAACACAATATATGTGAATGATAAAAATACTAATTTTAAAAAATAGAAAGTGGGTACAGAGAGTCCCTAGAGCGGGGAGATGTAGGTAGGCTAGAAGTTGTTGTTGTTGTTGTTGTTATGTGCAATCAATCACCTACAACACATAGCAACCCTGTGTACAATAGACTTGGATCTTGCCTTATCCTGAGCCAATCTCACCTCCAACAGACCTAGTCCCATTTCTCCAGTCACTGAGTCAATCCATCTCATCCTGGCTCTTTCTCTCCTGAAGCTTCTTGCTTTTGCCTCCATGGAAGGATGAGAGCGTGACTGTGCTGCCCTCTTGACTACTCAGTAAGCATGGTTTCAGCTACTAGAAGCTTCTGGTGGTATTCTTTGATCCACACACAGTTCTCCTCGCAGCCTTTTGCCTGCGTCAGACTGAATAGTTCCTGTAGCTCTGTTTCTGAGGGAACAGTCCTCTCGTGGAACAGACCAAATCTAGTCCCATGACACGTAGCCTAGAAGCCAGCACTTCAGGAGAGCAATATGATTGTCCCTGGCCTACCATGGGCCTCCTAAAATAAAAGGAATGTGTAAATTCATAGAGCTAGTAGCGATTTTAACTCAGCAGACATAATTTTGCTTTGCAAGTGCCAGGACCTATGTTAGGTATGAGTGAAAAAGAGAAAACTCATTGTGTCACTTCAGCTGACCCTCTAGCAGGTTTTCAGAAGCTCTAAGTCACATGGGAGGAGATTGCCCATCTTTCTCCCAAAGAGATTCAAACCACTAGAGAGGTATGACTATTGAGTTAGCAGCACAGCTCTTTACAGACAAACCTTGATTATGTGTCCGTGGAGATACTGCTCATACTGCACTGTAGCCAGACCCCATGTGGCCATCTTCTCCCCTGGCACAGGACGATTTTTGCAAGCAGGGTTCATGCCTTATTTATGCTTACATCTTCCTCTCCCCAGACAAAGTAGATAGGTACAGAGTTAATGACAGTTTGAATATTGGGATGAATGAATGAGGCAATGTGTAGATGCAGTCGCATTACTGTACAACAGCAAAAATACACTCTCCTTTTTCAGGCGCTTACAGACCTTTGAGGAAGACACACATATACACATATTCATGCCACAGCACAGAATGAATAAGTGCTTTTACCTAGAGATAGAAGTTACATATGTTCAAACCTTGGTCCTTATGCCTGCTAAGATCTCTCTTCAAATTCTAGCCTCTGAGGTTGTCAACTGTGAATTAGCCCATAAAATGATGGGAAATGAGAAGTATCCTTATCTCAGCCAAGCAAGGGAGGGGCCCCTTAGGACAAAGGCTGCCTCCCCCTTGACTCTCATCTCCGGGGACTTACTCTTCGAAAGCTCTGACTTGATTGCTTGAACGGGCTTTTCCCTTCTTTCTTTTCCAGATTGTTCGCAAAGTTGTTCGGCAGATAGACTCGTCTGGTGCCGATGACACCCAGGTGCACGAGGAGGTGATTGTTGCGGGGTCCCCAGAGGATGTTAGTGAGCTGGAAGCCGATGTGGATTTTTTAAGGGAACTCGCCAAGGTACTGCGCAGGCGCCAGCCCTCGGGAGCCTCTTGCTCTCCCGAGCGCCCCTCACCTCTGCTCCAGCTCACTCTGGGTTTCTGTCTGCACTGGACACTCTCCCCTCACCTTGTGCTGGCTCCTTCTCGAGCCTGCTGTCTCCACTGCATCCGGATGATCCCTCTTTCCTTCTTTTGCCTGTCTCTCTGTGTGATCCGTCCTGCTTTCTGTCTCTGCTGCCATCTCCAGGTGGAGTTGAGAGGGAGTAGCCTACAGCCGGACCTGCTCGAGGGCAGGAAGGGGGCTCAGATAGTGAAGCGGGCCAGCCTGAAAAGGGGAAAGCAGTGATCTCCAAGCCTTTCTCCCGGAAGTAGCCTCTTTGGAGGTAACACCCTTGTTCATCTTCCCTGCATGGCCTGAGACCAGGAGGCTGCTCCTGGAAGTCTGCATGCTTCCTCCCCTCCACCTTCTTCTCCCAGGAATCTCACTCCTCAGGCCCCTCATCCACCTCAGAACTCCTCCTGAAAGCATGATGTGGCATGACAGGGCCCCTAACAGCTGGGGCAGGGGAGGGAGGCACGCTTAAGGCATAGATTCTAGTTTGCCAGCCTACTAACCGCATACCAAGTAAACAGTCACCATATCTAGTCAATCAGCCTTTCGCCTTGCATACTTCGAGCATTTTGCTAAGAGAGAGAGAGGCTGTTCCTTGGAGAGGGACATGATGCTCAGAAATGTAGAAGGTCAGCAGAGAGGAAAACCCTCGACCAGGTGGACTGGCTCGGTGACTGCCTCAGTGGGCTCTGGAGGGTCAGCAAGTGTGAGGATGGCACAGGACAGGTCGGGGTTCAGATCTGTCATTCATGGGGTCACTATGGGTCATACTTGACTTGATGGCACCTAACAATAACAACAACAACCTCTCAGGAAATGCTTGGGGAAAATAGAGTTTGGAAAAGGCAATGTTTGGATGAATGGGGAAGGCACACTGTATAGCTAAACCGTGTGGTATTATCTTGGAAACCAGGCAGTGGAGAGGACAAAGACGTAGTGGGACCCGTGTGGCCTGCAGCAGCATGGGTCCCCAGAAGAGCTTCAGCATTGTTAATAAACATTCAGTGAGCAGACATTTTTCCAAATGTCTCTTGAATCAAAAACTTACTGAAGTCTTGATGAAACCAAGGCTTAAATTCTCCAGGATGATCCTTCAGACATAGTTTCTCCTTTGCTTTCTAGGAAAGCAATCAGTTGAGCAGGCCCAAGGGGGCCTCTCCACCATTCTACTAGTGAGAATGACTGGAGATTGGCTGGCGGTTGGACTGCACAGCGTGTGTGCATGAGGGCTTGCTGGCGGAAGAAGGGTGTGTTGGGCCAGGCTGGGCTGTGAGGGGTCACTATGAAGACTGCACTGGTGGATGGGCCTCCACAGCCTTGTGCAGTGCTGGGGACATCAGCAGCCAACTCTGGTCTCCACCCTCCCTGATGGATCCTGTACTGAGCTGCCCCGAGGCCCTTCATTGTGCCCAGCTCGGGGCAACTCAGTACAGGATGCATCGTGGTGGGAGTCAGCAGGAAGCAAGGAAGCACTGAGACCCCCTGCACAGCTCTGCCCAGGCTGTTACCTGTTAGACCCGCAGGGCCCAACTCTGGGGCCAAGCCCACGAAGGCTTTGCCTTTCAGCACTCAGCAAAAAGCAAGCCTGCTAAGGCCTGAGCCACCAGAAGTGCTGACTCTATGCTTCCCATCGTATCTCAGCCCTTGGATAAAAAAAGAGGACTGGCGGATCCAGTTATAGGATAAAATTAGACCTGACTCCTCAGCAGCTTAAGGAGGTCACCATGTTAACCCTGGAACTGCCAGTCTGTTGGTACAGAAAGTTGTGATGAGCTGTAGTCTGGTCCTGGAGATGATGCAGAGGTGCAGATAATCTGAAAAGGCAGAGCGTGAAAGGAAGAGAACACTCTTCTGCTTCATTTTTCTTATGGTAGCAGCAGCCGGGGCTCTACAGTTCAGCTTCTGTTTGGCTCAGATTCTGCTGATATTCTTAAATGAGAGAGAAAGCAAAAGAGAGAGAGAGAGAGCCTAGTAGCCAGGCTGGAGGGAAGAGGGGATTATTATAATTATCTGGGATTTTTATTATTCTTTAAAATTTACTAGTGTGGTCAGACACCCATACACATGCACACACGCACAGGCGATGCAGGGACCAGACCACACAAGGGTGCCTCACAGGAACACAAGGAGCCCAGCTCGGGATGGTTCAGGGCCTCTGCCAACAGGGGGCTGTGGAGGGCCCATGGTGAGGGAGTCAGTGTGGAGGAGGGCTCCCACATAGGTTACTAAGAGTCTTCTCACCTCCCAACAAGAACAAAGACTAGGAAGGAGTTAGGAAAGGACAGAGAAGCTCCCTGGTCCTTGGTAGCCACTGCCACCTCCCACTCACAAGCATGCATTTAGAAAGAGTGAAAGCTAGAGCTTTGGAATCTAGATTCAAGTCTGTTCCTATTTCCAGGTTTTGGGAAAAAAAATCCCCCAAGAGTTGGCTGACTAATGGTGACCCAGTGTGTGTCAGAGCAGAACTGCACTCTGTAGGGTTTGCAGCAGCTGATTTTGGAGTAGAGTGACAGACCCTTTTCCTGAGGCCCCTCTGGTAGACTTGAACTACCAGCATTTCAGTTATCAGCTTTATAAAAAAGGCTGTGGTGCCTTAAACAAATCACTTGACTCCTAGTCTTCTTGAGTGCAGATGATAAGAGTCCCTTATGAATGTGTGTTACTCATTAATACTATTAATATGCTGTTGCTGTTTTGTGCTGTTGAGTTGGAACTGACTCAGTTGCAGATCTGATTGTAATGTGGCTCAGGTTAAGTGGATTGACTCCTAAACCTCCCGCTGCTTATTCATACAAAGAGCAATAAAGCCACTGTTGCTTCTCTCATAGGATGTGATCAGTGAGTTTATGTTTGAGAAAGGGCTTTCTAAAAGATGTATTTCTAGTTCCCTGCTTCTTAGTGGCATCCATAAACCTCCAGCATCAGAATCATCTGAGTCTTACTAAAATGAAAATTCCTGATCCCTGAGACAGACCCTGTGAATGACAGATTGGGACCTGGGATCCTGCATTAAACTCCTGAAGTGATTATCATGCAAACTGGAGGCTAGTTGAAGACTGATTTGAGTTCTGCTGTCCAAACTTCCTAGAAGTAATGTGGCACAATGGTGGACTTTGTGTCTAAAAGACAGGCTACAATCAATGATGGTTATAGTTTGTCTAAAGACAAGAAACATCTTCATAAAATGAAACATCTCACCATGGGTTGGGGTGAGCATTGAAACTGCTCAGTGCTGGTTCAGGACAGGAAAATGGGTTTTGGTAACAGTTTAAGAAACCAGAAAATTGTTAGATAGTCAAAAGATGAACGCAAGAGGCACACAACACATAGCAGATAATGGGTTTTGCTTTGCATCTGAGAATTTTAGGTCCAAGTATTAGGGTCTCAAAGCTTGGCTGGTACAAATAGTTAAGGTTGTTCAGCCGCTAACTAAAAGGTTGGAAGTTTGAGTTTACTCAGACAAAAAGCCTGGCAATCTACTTCAGAAAAAAATCCCAGCCAGCGCACACCCTGTGGAGCACAGTTCTGCTCTGACGGTCACCATGAATCAGAATCAGCTTGACAGCAGCTGGATGTTTAGATGACCATATCTGTCTTGCTAACGGGGCAGAGTGAAACTGGGCAGTCAGGAAGGGCCCATAGCAAGGCACCCGGCGGTGATCTGGATTTCTAAAAGCCAGGCCAGGGGCCTCATTCTCAGCAGCTGTCTACATCTGCAGATGCAGGGTGCCTTTTTATCTTTATAGCTATCCTTCCAACTCAGCTACCATGACTGTAACACTTGCATTAGCTCTGACAACAGAATATTTAGTAAGTTTTGAGTTTTGGTTGGGGTGGGGTTTTTTAAAAAAATAAAAAGGTAATTGGCAATCTCAATGGGGATGGGGTAAGACAGTAAAGTATTTTGATTTGCTATTTTAAGTCGCAGTCCACCCTCAGTTCCCAGCCATTGCAAGTTTATTAGACTCTAGATTGGAGAAGAGGGGAGAAAGCTGCAAGTATTGGGTGGTGTGTTGCAGAGACCAAGCGATAGAGCACTGAGAGACCAAATGAGGGAGAGAAACTGAACAGTGCATCGCAAGTGTGGGAAGGAGTTATTAGCATTTTAAAAGACAAGATTTTTCTCTGAGTGGAACCAGGAAAAGATGTACAGGACAGGGGCGTAATGAGCCAGGAACTTGTATTCTAACTTACCCCAGCTGCTGTCCACATGCTCTGGCTCAGATCTGTCACAACTGAGTCTCAGTTTATCCAGTGATGAAATGAGGGGTTATGTTAGAATGATCTCTGAGGCTTGAACTTCTTCCGCTCAGGACTAGGCAGAAACATGGGGGAGAAATATTGTTTATTCAGATACTCAAGCTTTTACCGTGGTATATCATATTGCTGGATTTTATCATGATGTATCATTTGAGGAGTGCTGAGCAATGACAACACAATGAGAAACACTGCTGGTAAGAACTTGTGATTTCCCTCCACCAATTTCCTTCACATTGATCTTGACCCGTGGTGACCCCATGTGCCAGAGTAGTCCTCTTCTCTATAGGGATTTTGATGGCTGGCTTGTTGGAAGTGGGTCAGTCACTGGGCTTTTCTTCCAGGGTTGCCTTTTGGTTAGCAGTCATGTGGGTACTATCTAGTAATTCCAGCAGTTTCCCAAAGAGTTGTTTATAATCCACCCAGGGGAAAAAATGTTGTTACATGTAGTCAAGTTGGAACCAACTCATAGCTGACCATCAAACCGGTTTTCAGAGACTGTAAACCACATGGGAGGTGACTGCTTACCTTTCTCCTTCAGAGTAGCTGGTGGATTGGAACTGTGCATACATTACAGTTGGCATCACACCCCTTACCCACTAGGCCAATGGAGACGTTAAAAATAGAAGATTAAGACAAAACCAGAACTATTTCCAGAAGTCCACATAATCATTTGCATTCATAATGTTCACTATTTGTAAGCTCTTTATGTATTTTATTATTTTAATTATCACAATAAACTAGCAATATAACTGCTGTTATTATCTTCATTTCCCAGCTAAGGAAAATGAGTCACAGAGAGTAGTGATTTGACCAGTCATGAGGCAGTAACTAGCAGAGCCAGGATCTGAATGCAAGCTGGCTCCAGAGACCTTCTTCGTAACCAGTGTACTGTCTCTTTAAATGAAAGGCTGTGACAGAAAGAACTCCCAGCATGTAGAAGAGAGAAATATGAAAGAGCTGGAGTAATCCAGAAGGCTCCGTAGAAGAAAGGACTTGACTTTTGTCTTAAGAGCACTAGCTAGAATGTCAGCTAAGAAAACTGATAAAACGAGAAGAAATTCCATAGCTTCTGTGGGCCTAGAAATGACAGACAGTAGGACCTGAGGCCATCCTGGCCAATAGTTAAGCTGCCCTGAAGTTATGCTTTCTTCTTCTCTCACATGGTAAGATAGAAACATGGCCCTGTACCTATTTTTTTTTATGCTCATAACTGTTTTTGTTTTAAACAATGTTGGAGAAAGGTATGGTAACCCTTAATATGCTAGTCCTTTAAAAATGACATTTGATAAAAATAATTAGTTATTTATTGTGCATAACATGAGTAATCAGCATTAATGACTAAAGAGCTCTGGTGGCCTAGTGGTTTTGGGGTGGAGCTGTGCTTCCAACCCAGAGCCATCCAGTTCAAAGCCACCACCTGTTATGCAGGATAAAGGTGGGCAGTCTCCTCTTGTGCAATTTACTGCCTCTGAGAACCCACTGGAGGGTCGTCTGTACATTCTCACTCACTGGCACGTACCAACAACAGCAACAACTTACCCAGAAGGGGGCAGATGGCATTTGTCAGAAACAGAGAGGCAAGGAGCACTGTGGTTCCAAATGTCCAGCTGATAGGAAGGCCTACCAGCTCAGGGGAAACCAGGTTTCTACATCACCAGAAGAAAGAGCTCTGTCCTTGAAGATAATGATTCATTTGAGTGGGAATGAGTAGAAGGGCCTGCTTTTTAAGTTTTACAGCAGCATCTGGAAAATAACCATCCCTGCCATCTCTGAAGAACCACAGAGTTGAGTCGGTCTGGCCACCTTCAGCATTCATTCCTTTTCCCCATTCTAGAGAATGTAAGATTGCTTTCTATGAAAACAACCCTGCCTCAGAACAAGCTGCTGCCCTTCTGTGTCACTTTTTCATTCATATTCAGTGGTCCCTTTGTCGATCATTCTCCCATGGATTGTCAAGGTCCTTAAGGACAGAATCCTCAAATGCTGATCTTGAAAACAGAGTTTCACACCAGGTTGTAAAATGAGATACCCTGACATTGTAGGATGGGTGCCTTGCTATGCTCACCTGGGTTTACCCAGGCTGTGGGTGAAGCTGCAGTCCAAGGCTAGATACACAATGCTTAAGGATCTCTTTGCAACAATATTGTTCATCTATGAGACACAGGAGTCAATGTCACTTGATAAAAGCTTGTGGGCCAGAGTAGACTAGGAACTGTCATCCTTGAGACTGTGAGCTCCCAACCAGAGACCGCACCTGCTTTGTTTCCAGGTCTCCAGGGCTGGGAGCTGTCTGCCTCCTTTCTACAGGCACAGTGCACACAGCCCTCAACCCACAAAGGAGGGTGCTCTGGAAGCTCATCTGCTGAGCAGGGAACCTGGGCAGCTGGCTCTTAGAAGTGACCTCTCTGGAGAGGAGGGTGGGAAGTAGTGGATGGTAGTTCACTAAAGCCACAATCCAGGAATTCAATGCCTTTCACCCATCACCTTGCTAGTTACCAGTACCAGTCACCAATGAGTCAATTCCAGCGCCTGGCAAGCCTGTGTGTGTTGGGGTTTAGTTGTGACCCCTGAGTTTTTCAATGCTGGTGTTTTATAAATAAATCCCAAGGCCTTCCGAGGACTCTTTGGGTGCACTGAGACGTCCAGCTTTTCTGTTAGTATATCAATCATTTGTACCAGCCAGAGACTGAATCAGATTCCGTCTAAGCAACTAGATACAAAACTCTGGATTGGAGTTTAGGGTGGATTACTACCACCACCACCACCACCACGACCACCCCTACTGGTGATTTGCCTCTTCAAATGCTAAATGATCCCTTCTCTCTTTCTGTCCCTCAGGATCACACCTCAACACCCAACCCCTGAACTCCACACACTCTGCCATGCACACAGGAGGAGAGCTGGACTGGTGGGCGATGGAAGTGGCGCACATGTTCCTCTAGGCTCACGGCATGACCTCTGTAAGAGACTTCCTTTAGTCTCCTATCGCATGAACGTCCGGCTGTAGACGCATGACCTACAGTCCTCAATCCTGCCTCTAGTGACGGATCTCTGTCGGAATCAGGACAAAAGCAGCAAGAAGGGGAGGGGGGGAACAAAGGAACAGAAACAAGTGCAATAGAGAGTGAGACCACAAATGTGAACAAGGGCTCTTTGTGGCTGGGGATGGTATTTCTTTTTAACTCATTTTAATTTCGACCTCGTACAGGGTAGTTTTTTCCCCAACCTCATCTGTAAGAAATCCATCTGGGCTTCCTGTAAAGAAAAAAAGGAAACTAGGCATGAAATTAGCTCAGCACCTTAATTCCATGTCCTTATCTGCCAGCCTTCCCCATCCACGCACACATCTCCATTCCATTTGTGACTGTCCTCTTTCACTCCCCAGTGGGACTGCTCCTCCCAGAATGCGAAACATGACATTTAGGACACACACACACACACACACACACACACACACACACACACACACTCTCACCTCGCTCCTCCATGCCATTCAGTATACACACAGATTTTACTGTGATGTCTGAAGCTGTATAGACTCTCCTGTGGATAAACTGGAATTTTTTTTATGTTGTCTCTCTCTCTCTCTCTCTCTGCCAGTTTCAGTATTAATCATCTTCCAATGGAAAATCATTACATTTAGAGTGCATTCGGGGTTCCTTGTGTTAGGGACTTAAGAATCAGAGGCGAGGACCCCCAGGCTTAGCTGTAGGGCTCAAAGGGAGCCAGCACCCCATCTGAAAGGGTCTTCTCTCTCAGCTGGGGGAGGGCCGGTGGCTGTCCCAGGATTGCACCAGCATGTTCCATAGAGAAGAGGTTTTCTATATCTTAAAGCACTTATATCATAGTCTGTGTTCAAAGTGTAAACTGTACAGTAATCAGCCTTGTGTATATGAAAAATAATAAATACTATGCAAACCAATAGAAACACTTTAGCAGTATGTACAAAGCACTAACAGCTCAGCTCCTGAGGACTTCTCCAGGCTGCGGGAGAAGGAGCTACAGCCTGTCCTTTCAGTGAAAGAGGAAGGAAGGGAGTAGGGCTAGTGAATGTATCTGCCAGTTCTTAGAAGTCTGTGACAATCCCAAGGTCTCCCAGAGCGAACTTGGTGCTCTAACTCCAGGAAGCCAGCAGGATAGGGGGTCGCCCTGAGTGCAGGCACTAGGCTCTCGGCTGGACAGCCTCAGTTTCCCCACTCTGGCTGACAAAGCCACCCTGGCCCCACCTGGAAACACAGAGCGAGGGGACCACTCCTGACCACACGCCCAGCGAAAGGAGAACCGGAGGAAAACAGAGCAGAGGACGACCGAGCTGCCTGAGGCTAGGAAGGAGACCCTCCTAGGCCAGGCTCCGGGTCGGGGCAGAAAGGAAAGCTCGCCTCGGTGCCATCAGGGAAGAGCCTTAAAGTTCCACTAGCGCCTCCGGCGAGGGAGGCCCGAATCAGCACAATACGCCCGGCCCTCCGCGGCAGGCGCCCTCTAGGGCCAGGAGAGTGACTCGGCCAGGCTCTTCTCGCTCTCAAAGAGCCACTGTTTATGGATGTCCTGTCACCTTCCTCCCCGTCGCGCGTCCGGGGTGTCCTCAGGACACATTTCAACCTTCCAAGTAGCACAGAGCTCCCTCAATGTCAGAGGTCCCAAGGCCCTGGTGCCTGTGACCTGGGTCTCAAAGATCTCCCCGCGGAGCAGGGACAGCCTGGCCTCCCGCCGCAGGGTCCCCGCCCGCCGGCCTGGCCCCCTGGGTGCCCTCCTCAGGCACCAGGGGCCGTGGAGCCACCAGCCAGCCTGCTCGACCCGACCTGGAGCCCATCGCCCAGATACAGCGCGGTCTGCACCCTGAGTCCTCCAGGATCCGGCGCCCCTGACCCCCGAGTTCTCGTGTGTGCCCGGCGGGTTTTGCTTTTGCTTTCTTAGAGTGGGGAGGAGATATGACGTTCCAACGTGTGGCCCGCATTCTCCTTGAAGGTTCGGGTCAGAGGAAACCCAGGCTCCTGGGTGCCTCCTCTGAGGCTGCACAAGGTCAGAGAGGGCGCGGCCGCCGGCAGAGGGGCCGGGATCAGGCCGGGTCCGCTGGGCTGCCGCGGCCCAACGGAGGAGAGGCGTGTCCCCAGAGCGCACCAAAGCTGTGCCAGCTCGCCTGGGGGACGCCGCCGGCCACAGTGCATTGGGATCGGGAGTCGGTCGGGCCCTGCTGCAACCTCGCCGCCCGGCCGGCTCCCATGCCCAGGCCGCACTGTGGGGGCGAGCTGGGTGAAGGCTCAAGGAAGCCAGGCGCGGGGTTCGCCTCTCCCGCCTCGGTTCTGTACCTCCCTCTCCCGGGTCGCCGCTGCAGCCGAACCCAGTAGCGCCTCTTAGAGACCCGTGTGGGTCCCGCGGCTCAGGCTCCGCTTTGGCACCTTCTGCTCTGTCTGGCATGGCTGCTTGGCCCGCCGGCCCCAGGCCCTCGGTGGCATGGCTGCACGCCCCAGTTGCTAGTAGGAGCTGTTAGGGGAGGAGTTTGGGGTCTCCACTTGATGCCTAGAGAATGCTGCAGTCTGCACATTAGACGCTTTTTAGAAGTTTTGAAATTACCTTGATTTTTTTAATTGTTATGAAAATGAATCTTTTCTGGGGTCTTTCCCACATGCTCTGTTATTGGGAGAGGACTCCCCACCCCCTACTCTGATGTATAGACCATCCTCCCTACACCAGCTGAACAAATGTCAAAATTAATAAAGAAATGGACTCATGGCACAGGGCTCCATCTCTTCTTCCGGCTCATCTTTTTGGGGAGGGAGGATGTGACGTGTTGGGGTAGGAGTGAAGCCTAAGTTGGGTTACAGAGGGATCTGAGGGATCAGCTTACCAAGAGACCTGTACCACTACGAGGCCTGGGTAGCAGTCCCTCCTCAATTAACACTCCCCACACTCAGTGGTATCAAGAGCCACTAGGATATATTTCTGTCCTGCCTCTTAAGTGAGGAGGGGGGGACACCACAAATCCCCAGGATACCTGGTCTGGCCCGCAGTCAGAAAAGGACCCCACAAGTGCTTCCTGAAAAAGGTATTTGGCCCTTGATCACAATGCCACAAGTGCAAGAAAAGGAGAACGAGAAAAAGAGGATAAGACAGACTGAAGTAGGCTGCAATAACAGTTGCAAAGAGCAACAGCTGTGACAGCCCAGGATGGCTGGCACAGGACCCGACAGTGTTTCATTCTGCTGTAAACAGGGTCACTGTGAGTGTATTAGAAGTGGCTCAATGACTCAATGACACGGACCCGACAGTGTTTCATTCTGCTGTAAAAAGGGTCACTGTGAGTGTATTAGAAGTGACTCAATGACACCTAGTAATAATGCAGAGAAAATGGCCCTGGGTGCTACAAATGGCTAAATGTTCAACTGCAGGATGAAAGGTTAACAGTTCAAGCTCACCCAGAGGTACCTCAGAAGACTGTCTGCTGGTGAAAGTCACAGCATTGAAAACTTGATAGAACACATGTACACATGGGATCACCATGGGCCAGAATTAACTCACCAGCCACTAACGACAGTGTGGAAAGCAGAAGGTCTCATTATATTCATACAAGGGGTCATTTTCTGCAAGGCTAGATAGAGCCCTGGGAGCGGAGTCTGCAGGGATTTGCACTGCTAACCCAAAGATCGAGCCTCTCTGGTGATTCAAATTCACCAGCAGCTCCTTAGGAGAAAGATGAGCAATCTTTCCTACAGCTTAGGAAGCCCCATGGAGAGTCAGCTATGAGTTATTGATGGCAGTGAGGGAGAGTGAGTCACAAATGCCTCATGTGTTAAGTGAGGAAACAGAATAAGTGATTGCTTAAAACACTCTTAGTTTAGTTGTACCAGGGTCCACAAACATGAATGCCTTTACCTGGCTTGGAATGACATAACAATCAGCTCATTTGCAGTAGCTTTCCCCCGGCTCCTCATAGGTGCCTATCCTAGGAGGTGAACAAATCACAATTAGAGAGTCCCTCATAATTAGAGAGTCCCAGGAGCATTTATAATGCCCACTCCTCAGCATGTTCCTCTCAGAAAGGCCACCCAAGTCTATGGGCCAATCATGACTGTATAACAGCATCACCTAGGGGATCTTTTTAAAAAGCAAAGATTCACAGAACTGTTCGGAATGCTGGTGTGTTGAGGAATGGGGATTCAATTTCCCAAAGGACTGTAATGGGCGTCCTGGTAGCACATCCAACTCAGATGTATAAGAAACTGTTGTTTTTAGTCTAAGCCTCTCCTGAAACAATTTTCATGGCCTTTGTGAGGAGGACTTCCTTGCTAGACTCAACCTAAATCATTTATACAACAGAAAAGCCTGACCAGTGTCAGAGTGTTTCCACTTTTGGTAACAAAATCTAAGAAAGAAAGAAAAAGTGCTGCTTCATGAATATAGAAAACATCCAAGTACCTGGAAAGTTGGCTCTGATACCTCTACACCTGTTTGTAAAATAAGAATACTGTCTTGTAGAGCACTTACTTGTGTAAAAAGTCATTAGGAGAAAAAAGCCTATGGGTGCTCTCTGATTAATCTATTCAAATCCATCAAGTATTTTCTTGGAACCCATTAAGTGCCCCACACTGGGAATCCCAGATTGATCACATGCCACCCAGCATCAACAATTTCAAACCCAGATGCTAAGTCAGACAGAATGGGCTACTTGCTCCAGCAGAGGGACTAGATTCCTCCGAGGTGCCAAGAAATGAAAAATTCAGACTCACCACCCTCAAGCCAGTTGTGTCCTCAAGTTAGGATGCGTCTCCTCCATTGGGTTCCTAGGCTTGTAAATCTCAAGGAAAGAAGACGTCCCCTCTCTCCAGGAGCTGCTTGTGGGTTCCAACCACCAGCAATATGAGGCCTTATTAGCAGCGCAGCACACCACCGACTACACCACATCTGACAGAGGGTTCAGAGGTCTCCCAGAGGTGCAGGAACACCACACACACACACACACACACACAGAGACACACACACACACACAGAGCCTCTGCCCACTCATTTCAGTCTCAGCCTTAGAAGGCAGGAAGGTACACACCTACCAAGCAGAGTTTCTCCCCGACCCCTACCTAATCTTCCCCCTCTGCTGCAGCAGTCTCCCACCCCAGGCTTTCAAGTCAGACACAAGGATATGCATCCCCTAGAAAGGAGGCACTGTGCAACCTCCCTACTTACCCCGTCCCAGCGCAGGAAAGAAAGGAAACTTGCAGGCTCCAACTTGTCATTATACTCCCTGCACATAAAGGGATCTGAAAATCTTGGGACAGATACCTCAGAGATTGGCTTTCTCTTCCTCAGGGGAGCAGCTGCAGGAACTGTAACTTCCAGGTAGCAGAGCCTCCAGGTGTCCCAGACACCCTCCTTTATCTGCACACCAGGCTTGAGAGAACCAGGAGCAGGTGGACCCTCACATGATGAACAGGGCTTCCAAAGCTAATCTCTCTCTGTCTCTAACACACACACACACACACACACACACACACACACACACACAGAGAGAGAGAGAGAGAGAGAGACGCGCACACGCACACGCACATGCACACACACTCTGGCTGATTTTACAGTCAATCTTTCAAAGTGCAATTTGTCTAGGAAAAGCCAATGTGAGGCCCGTGTGGGTTCTGACCAATGGCTGCACGGCTCCAGCAGCTCAGCCAGTCTTAGGTCTGTATTCTAATGGGCCTTATCTTTATCAGGGAAATGTTGGTTCTGTGAACTTAAAACTTCTCATGGAGGGTCTCCAGACTCAGAAGCAGAGTAGGGGTCTGAGCTGAGGAATGGGTGTCAGCCTTTCCCCAGGCAGGAAGGGCCAGGGAGAGAGAAGTGGGGCTGGGAAGACTGCTCACCTGTCCTGAGGCACCTCCCCTCCGAGCGGCTGACGTGGGTGGCCAGTCCCTGGGCAAAGATTGGGTCAGACGCTTTCGGTGGGAGGGCGGTCAAGGGCTGTGGGACCAGTTTTGACCCTTCAAACTTGCCATGGGATTCTGGGCCGGAGCTTGGAGTCTTGGGTATTAGCGGCCTGGATCCGGGCAGCCGAGGCCCGGCCACCTGCCTGTCCCTGTCCTGGGGAGCATGGAGTCCAATCTGCAGGGAACCTTCCTGCTCAACAACACATCGCTGGCCCAGTTCTCGGAGATGAAGGCCCCCATGTGCCAGTATTCAGTGCAGAACTCCTTCTACAAGCTCAGCCCTCCGGGGCTGGGCCCCCAGCTGGCGGCCGGAACACCCCACGGGATCACGGACATCCTGAGCAGGCCTGTGGCTACGCCAAACAGCGGTCTCCTCTCCAGCTACCCCCATGTGGCAGGCTTTGGTGGACTTGGCTCCCAGGGGGTCTACTATGGCCCCCAGGTGGGGAATTTTTCCAAGGCTGGGAACGAGTACCCAACCCGGACCCGGAACTGCTGGGCAGACACGGGCCAGGACTGGCGAGGCGGGCGCCAGTGCAGCAACAGTGAGTACAAGGAGACCCCCACACCCACCCGACCAATACCCCAGATCTGTGGAAGAAGGAGAAAGTGGTGAGGAGGAGGCCCTCCCAGGGCAGTCTGCACTGGCCGCCCACCTCGGTTGCCATTAGACCATCCAGGTCAGCCACTAGGTCCCTTTCCTCAGCTCAGAGCAAGACCGAATTCCTGCCCACTGCCATTCCCATGCTGCCTGCCCATGGGTTTTCTGGGCCCAGCCCCACCCCTTACCAGCTCCCTTCTTAGGGCACCTAGAGTCTCCGGGTCTGGGGTAGTCCACACAACCCATACTCTTCGTAGGCTCCCAACTGGCATCTCTCCTTACTTCACCGCCAGAGCCCATGGCACCATTTCTGCACCCCAACTACGATCCAGTCCTCAGGACTCACCACTGCGTCACTTTGCCCGCCATCATTCAGGGACAAAGATTGCACCCTGACCCTTTCCTGGCCATTTCTCACCTTCCTCCTCAAGGTTTATTTATGTCAACAGTGGCAACATCACCCACCGGCTCCTAGGAGCTGACATCAGCTGGGTGGGGGCACACTGTCCTGGTTGCCTTAGGCCACAGAAAGCTGATCCAGGGACCAGTTGCTTGATGGCCGTTGGGGACTGGAGAAAGTGGCAGGATATACAGATGGGGCTTACCTATCAGAAAGGCAAACAGCATGATGGTGTCTGTGGTTGTTGAGCCATCCCGAACCCAAACACCCTTCAGGGCAGAGGGAGCTGGCTGTCCTGATCCAGATGTCCACTGCAGTAAGGGCTTGAGGTGGCAGGGAGACCCCCGAAAGCACACCTGTCTCCCACCCGGTTTATAGTGCTCCAGGCATTCATGCCATCTACTAGTTCACCCCTCATGAGTTAGGAAAAATGTGGGGAAAACCCACCAGGACACTTGGTTAGACCCCCAGCCAGTACATGTCAAAGGGGTAGGAGCTAGCCCTCCCAGTAAAGGGGTCCTGTCCCTGAAACCAATGCTACTCATAGGTGGCCGACCAGTGAGGACTTATACTGCCAACCCATAGGCACACAGTTCAAGTCCACCAGTTGCTCCACAGGAGGATTGGCAGTCTCCTCCTGTGTGATTTACTGCCTCTGAAAACCCACTGGAAGGTCGGCTATAAGTTGGTTCTGACTTGATGACACTATTAGATGTCAACAACAATAACAACGTTGAAAGAAAAGGTGCTGTGGTGGCACAGCAGTTAAAACACTTGCCTGCTAACTTAAAGGCTGGTGATTTGAACCCACCACTGGAGAAACATGAGGCCACCTGTTTCCATAAAGATCTTCAGCCTTGGAAACCCTATGGGGCAGTTCTACTCTGTCCTATAGGGTTGCTGGGTTGGAACTGGCATGATGGTAGTGGGATGGAGAGTTAAATAGGAAGGGTGAACCCATTTTATGATCTCCTAGAAGGTATTCTATACCCGTTTTGAGGTATTGAGATCTGCCTCAGGCCATTACTCTCTCTCGCCTCCATTTCCCCTCACATACATACACATGGGCTTTCTCCACCCCTACCCTCCATTCCATTTGCCCGTGCACACATACACGCGTGCACACACATACACACATACAGGAAAATATCTAAGCAAGTCAGTGGCTGGGTTAAAGCACAGGGAGAGAGGCTGAAGATGACAGCCTTTCTTGAGGCCTCTTCCTTTTCTATGACCCAGTTTCTTCAGCTCTAACAGGACAAGGCATGGGCTGTTAGGCTGCTCTAAACAAGGCCTGACCCAGGGGGTTCTGCTTTCCCTGGGCCCTCACTGCCTTCCAGCTCAACCCCCCACAATGGGCAGTGAGGACAGAGGCTCCAGCCACCAGACCAACCTCTCCAGTTTGGGCAGAGCCACATGGTAACATGGTGACATGGCAGAGCAGCTTCTTGGGACTTGATGGCCACCCTCCCTGCTGTTCCGGGAGTCCTAGGAAACTGGGAGCCAAAAGGAAGGAAGTGAAAAGAGAGTCCTAAGCCCTGGGGTGTCATGTGGGTGGAAGAGTCAATGTCAGTGACCTGAGAAGTATCTGAGGCAGGAAGAAAACTGTGGAAGAGGAAGCCGTATCATCAAGTACGAGAGCATGAGCTAGAGAGGCACAAGTGCTGGGTTCAAGGCCTCTTGTCCCCAAATAGTTAAAACCAGGGGCAGCAAGACCCCTTAGGATGCCTACCACTCAGACATGGCAGTGGTCACAGTTGCTGCCACCTGAGGGGCCTCTCAAGGCGGCTGTGAACCCCACGGGAGAGGCAGGACAGGGCTGCACTCCACAGGTAGTAGCGGCAGTCCTGGTCCCTGCTCACACTGCTCACCTGTACTTCCTTCCTCCTGCCAGCACCGGACCCCCTGAGTGACAGCATCCACAAGAAAAAGCACACCCGACCCACCTTCACGGGACACCAGATTTTTGCCCTGGAGAAAACCTTTGAGCAGACCAAGTACTTGGCTGGCCCTGAGAGGGCCCGGCTGGCATACTCGCTGGGGATGACCGAGTCCCAGGTGAAGGTGAGTCTGAGTGGGACGGGGATGTCACTGCACAGAAGCCAAGCAGTTATACTTTCCCAGCTCCTCCCAGCTCTTTGGAGTAAAAACGTCTGGGTCTTTCCAACTGTATCCAAGATGATTAGGATGGGACAGGACAGGATAAGGTTCAGGTCTGTTGTTCTTAGGGTTGCTATGAATTGTACTCGACTCAACGACATCTAACAACAACAACAACAAGAAACCTGTTGTTGTTAGGTATCATAGAAACAATTTTGTGCCCACGGTCCATGTGACAGAGAAGACCTAACTTAAAGGGTTTCTAGGCTATGATCTTTACCATACAGATTGCCTGTGCAGTACAGGTCTTCGACAGGGCCACTGATGGGTTTGAATAGCTATCCTTTCAGTTAGTACCTGAGTACTTATCTAATGTAATACTAGAGCTTCTTCCTAACTGGCCCAAAGGTGGTAACAATTAACAGTAACTCCTTCTGTAGTGTAACTGCTTCTGAAAACCCGCCGGAGGGGCAGCTATGAGTCAATTCCAATCCAATGGTACACAACAACATTAATTGATTGAGCCCGTTATGAAAGTCCAATATATAGTACCTTACATTTAATCCTCACAGCAGCCTTGAAGTTGGCATTATTATTTAACAGGTGAAGAAACAATCTCAGTTAAGCCTTGTGCCCAAGGCCACACAGATCATACTTAAGAGAGGTGGGTCTCAGTCTCAGACATGCAGGATCCTAAACTTTATGATTTCCCTCTGATTGTCTCTGTCAGAGATTTCAAGAGCTGACGATAGCCCCTGGCTGCATTAGGAGTCTGGGACTTGTGCTCAAACCTGTCCCATTAGTTAACAGAAGGAGTTATCCTTTGGTTTGTTATTGTCATTGTCAGCTGCCTTCAAGTTGCCTTCTGACTCCTGGCAACCCCAACAAAATTAAATTGGACCCTTGTGATCCCTAAGATTGTCACTGGTTGATTTTCAGAAGTAGATAGACCTTTCAGCTAAAAAAGGCTGCTGGAATCTGATCAACATCACAGCAACATGAAAGCTTCCAATGACAGAAAGACAGGTGTTTTGCTTGAAGTGCGTTGACTAGGAACAGAAATGGGGTCTCCAAAGGGATGTGATAGTTCTACCACTGAATGACCAGTGTCCGCTTGTCATCAGCATGTTGTTGTTGTTGTTGTTATGTGCCATCGTGTCGCTTGCAACTCATAGCAACCCTATGTACAAGAGCTTATCTTTAAAATGAAGAAATCTCCAGTTCCTGATCATCCAGTTGAAGATGTGAGATCCAGTTGAAGGTGTGAGATGAGAGGTGTGACGCTGTAGAGCTTGAAGGAAAGGCTATTGCTATTGTGTGCTGTTGAGTCCAAACCAACTCAGAACTGACTGACCCTCCAGCCAGTTTTTAGAGGCAGCAAACCACGCAGAAAGACACTGCCCATCTTTCTCCCACGAAGCAGTTGGTGGATTTGAATGGCGTGCCTTTAGACTGGCAGCATATCTCCTTACTGTCTGAAACTTGTTCTGTCTTGCTCCATCCTCACAAACTTGGATGTGCCCGGACCCATTCTTATGGTCTCTGTGTCAATCTATCTTGCTGAGGGTCTTCCTCTCTTTCACTGACCCCCCCCCACCTTTCCCGGCACGATGCCGTTATCCAAGGACTGAATCTTCTGGGCATCATGCCCAAAGTGTATGCAATGAAGCTCCACCATCCTTGCCTCTAAGGAGAACGCGGTTTGCACTCGCTCCAAGACAGACTTGTTCATTCTTTTAGCAGTTCATGGTGTATTCAGTACTTTTCACTAACCACACTATTCAAAGGCATTAATAACTCTTCTGTCATTCTTATCCGTTATCCAACTTTCAGAAGCACAGGAAGCCATTGAAAAGACCGAGACTTGATAAATATAAATAGGCTTTAGTAAACTGGCTTTCACCTCCCAAGACTTCCTGGGGTAACTTTTCCCAACTCTGAAGCTAGAAGTCTCTGGGGAAATTTGGAGTGGAACACCAAAGAAGACAGTTTTCACCTAAGCCAGTTCTGCCTCATTCTATGAAACAGGGACAATTTTAAGGGTGTGAGAAGTACCAGAAAAGGGTTTTTGATCCCAGGTCTGGGATCCATTTCAAGCCTTCACATCTCCAGCAAGTCCTCTGATGGTAATTCAGCTGCAGTGAAAACTGATTAAATGGCAAAAGGGGATACTGTAACATGCTTTATTTCTTTAAGTGCTTTTGTCTACTTTTCAACTATCTCAACAAATAGGCATTTGTTAATTTTACAATTGTTGCTGTTATGAAACGGCCCATAGCTGACCTTCCAGCAGGTTTTCAGAGGCAGTAAATTGTATGGGAAGAAATGGCCCATCTTTCTCCGGTGGAGCAGCTGGTGGATTCGAACCGCATGCCTTCGGGTTTGGGGTGGGGGGAAATAACCAAGTCCCAGTCTCTAAACCAGATGAATTCCAGAATTTCCTGATGTGCTCTAACCTGGACTAAACCTTTCCATTCTGGGCATTCCAGCATCTTCCACCTCAGAGCTCCAGATAGCAAAGAGGAAGGTCGATGCCCCACCGTGAGGAGACACTCCAGCTGAAATGGCTGCTGTAATCACATTTCTTTTTGTGGCCCTGCCCTCCCCCTCCCCAGTGATGTGACTACTGCAGTGTATTCCACCATTTAGCCATTTATTTTACAACCGCAGTAACTCTAGTTGCCACCACGTGGAGTCGTCCTCCTGGGGGGAATGGGGACGGGTGCTGCGGGTGCTCTGAGTCCACCTACCAGGTGCAGGGGGCCCACATGACACTCTGTCGCCCCAGGTGTGGTTCCAGAACCGGAGGACCAAGTGGCGGAAGAAGAGCGCCCTGGAGCCTTCGTCCTCCACGCCTAGGGCTCCGGGTGGCGTGGGCGCGGACCGCGTGGCCTCGGAGAACGAGGACGACGAGTACAACAAGCCGCTGGACCCCGACTCGGACGACGAGAAGATCCGGCTGCTGCTCCGGAAGCACCGGGCCGCCTTCTCGGTGCTCAGCCTGGGCGCGCACAGCGTCTGAGCCGGGCCGCGCGCTCCCAGCGCCGCCCCTGCGCCCCGTCCTCGCCATCCCCTTCCCAGCCGCGGCCCGTCGCCATGGAGGCCTCGCTCCCTCGCTTCTCAGCGCTGCTGGGGGAGAAGATGCCGAGTGCAGCGGCTTCTGACCAACTGGAGGAGGTGGGGGGGAAAATAACAAAGGGGAACAGGCTGGACTGGCTGAGGGGAGCGGGCAGCATAGAGCACCTCTTGAGACTTGTGGGCACAGGAACTTTCTTTACTATCCTCCTCCTGTGGGCAGAGGCCTTGCGTGCCAATTCTGCAGGGTTCTTAAATACAACCTAAAATGGCCAGGTTCTGGTGAAGGAGAAAAGATCGGGGTGGCATGTCCAGATACGCTCCTCAGACCTATGCCCAGGTGAAATCCTGCTTGAGATTCCAGAGCCCAACAGTATAGCCCAGATAGGAAACTTAGGGAACAGGGAGAAATCAGCCAGATCCACGGCTGTCAACTCAATTCCTGTTCACGTGGCCCTCCATCAGCTAGAAATGTTTCTCCTGCAGGAAGGTTATCAGCCCAGGAGGTAACCCACTACGCCAACGGAGCTCCTTTAGGGAGGACAAATGGGTTCCAATTGAGAAACACTCCAGATACCAAACTTGAGAATTTATCTGGATGGGCTCGTGGTCTCTTTTCTCCACTTTCACCTAAAAGGATCGCCTGGAATAAGTTCCCACAGGCTAGGAAAGAGGAGAACAACATCCTAGAGGCTTGTGTGGGCGCCTGACAGACACCCTCAGCACCAGTACAAGCACAGAACCATCTAGGAAAGCAGGGTGTCCAGGAGTGGAGAGAGACAGGGCTGGAAAGAACTCAGGGGCAGGGCAGAGGGTGCAAGAATGACAGAGCCAAGGGCCTTCTTTCCTTAGATCACTCCGTAGCCTGGCGCTCCCTGGTCTGGGGCTGCAGGAGGGCATCGCCCAAAAACGGTAGTGTTTTTTTCTCTGAAACTAGTATCTCTGAGCTATTGGCAGGTGGGTGGGGCCACGGTTAAGGGAGGTGGGTGGGGGGCTGGCCATGAAGAAACACAGCCCAAAAGGGACCAAGCATTTCCCCATCTTCACTGGCTTTAAGCAAATATAGAGCAAAAATAAAAGTCCCAGAAATCTTCCCATGGCTTATGTGTTTCTGTGAAAGGAATGAGTCCTAGGAAAATGGTTGTGGGGACCTGGAAATGAGGATTGCGGTTCAACTGTGAGAGTTTTGCCCCAAAGGGTCGAAGGCTCAGGGGGCGAGGTAAAGGGGTGGTGCTCTGAGAATCTAGTCACTTGCTGGCGTCCACACTGGCCTTCGTGTGCTGCAGGCCCTGAGCTGCCCCAGGTCTGTCTGCCCTGCTTTCTCCATAGCCAGCGGGACAGGCTGAAGAGCATCTGGTCGCCAGGAAGTCCAGGAAATGGCATCAGTGGCAAGGGTAGTGGATGAATCCTTGTCTGAGGGTCACAGTGGAGACTCAGCCAATCTCAGAAGAAGATTTGGAGAACTGGACCCTTGAGAAGACATTGAAATAGTTCCTTTTATATTTTAAAGCTTTCTCTTTCCCTATTCTTGGGAGGAAAATGGGAAATCTTCTGTGGATTTAATGTCTCAGAAAACCTTCTGAAGGGTCAGCTATGGGTCAGTTCCGAATTGATTGTATATAACAACAATTTCTCTATTGAAATTGTCTGCACGATACTATCCATTTGGAATCTCTCCTGGAATATGCCAGGTATTGTGGAAGCTGCTGGAAAACCTAAGAAAGTTTTAATGAGTCCACGACCTCCCAGAATTCATACTCTCAACTTACTCAATACTATCGAGTTGGAACTTGTTCCTAGCTGACTCTCCATTGGATTTCCAAGCCTGCAAATGGAATGAGATGGTACCTGAGAGGACATGGTATCTTCCTCTTCCAAGAAGATGTTAGTGGAGTCAAACTGTCAAGAGAGGCACTGGCTCTGGGTTTTCAGTACAATTCCCTATGGATGAAGCTTCCAGAGCTCTCCCCAGTAACCCTAGGAAGTAGGCAATATTCTCAATTAATAGATGAGAAAACTGAGATACAGAAGCCCCTAAGCCAAACCACAGGAAATGGAAAAAGGCAAACCCAAAGCCGATTCCAAGGTCCTTACTTCTGCTTTTCTGGCCCACAAGACATCTTGAAAAATCTTTCACAAAAATAAGGCTTGAATATCTAGTGCTTTAGGGAAGCCTTCCAACTTTAGCAAACACAAGGCCTCGAGGAGCTGTCAACATCAGCCTGACCCTTTGCCTGACCCAACAAGTTCTTCAGCTCATCCCTTGGGCCTATAGGGCAGAGTTGGACCAGTGGTCCCAGTCCAGAGGGGAAACAAGGGTGGGAGGAAGACTCTTAGAAACTGAAGCTTCAGCCTTTCGTAATGGTCCTCAACATACAGAGGACAGAGGGTTGTATGACAAGGAAATGTAAAATTCTTTCAACAGTGAGCCTCAATATGTGACCATGTCTATACTCAGGGCCTGAGTCTTTCCTGTCACAAAAAACATCAGCTCATTGCTTTCAAGTTGGAACCAACTCTTCTCTGACCTTCCACTGGATTTTCAGAAGCTGTGAATTGCGTAGGAGGAGATTGCCTATCTTCTTCTCCAGGAGCAACCGGCGGTGAATTTGAAACGCCAAGAAAATGGAAAAGCAGCTTCTAAGAGTACAACCTGCAAACACTCCTGGCCACACTGGGTGTGGGTCAGTCACAGATCATATCGAGAGGCCTGCCACTGGTGCAGTGTTGCTGGAGGCAGGACACAATCTGGGAAGAGCTGAGGACTCAGCACAGGCCACGGAGATCAGGGGGCTCAGAGCGATGCCCAGTATTTCCCAAGCCTTGGAAGGCAGCCTGGAGCCTACAGCAAGGCAGTTGCAAATATAATCTAGGTGGAAAGCAATGAAGGGGGTGAGGAGGGAAAAGCCAGTCCAAAACCAAAAATGTGCTCACTTATTTCTCCCTTAAGTATATTATAATCTTAACCACTCTATTATGGCTATAATTCTTGTATATCCTATTCACACCATTTGGATCAGTATTAAATCAAGGCTGGAGAAAGTTTCTCCCAGGAGACATTTGCTGAGCTAAACAAAGTTTCCTCCAATTCCCAAGTTCTGGGACAGTGGCCACTGGTACCTCTGGCCAAGACTTAGGTTTCCCAATGGTTCTTTAACTCCACTGCTGCCTCCTCTGTGTGGCCTGAGCACTTGGGCCAAGTGAGGTAGAGGCACGGGCCTCCTGTCTCACCAATTATTGTGCAAGCCTGTTCAGAGGCCAGAGTTGACAGAGAAGACAAGTTGAAAGTGAATGGCCCAGCCCCTGAGGGTAATCAGAATAAAACTAGCCTTGTGTCGGGTGTATGTGTATGTGTCACTGGGAAGAACACAAGTCTACCTTGTTTCAGGATCCATTATAAAGAACTCCTGACGCATAAAACCCAAACCCAAATCTACTACTGTCCAGTTGATTCTGATCGCAATCCAACAGGCCCCACAGGATCGCCAAGGTAATCAAGCTTTAAGGAAGTAGACTGCCCTTCCTGGTTTTGCAGAGCAGCTGGTGGATTTGAATGACTAATCTTTCGGTTAGCAGTGAGCACTTTAGCCTCTACACCACCTAGGCACCTCCTAAACCACGGGTTCCCATTCCTATGCCTGCTTTGCTATGGATTGAGTAGTGTTCCCTTGGAACATGCTGACATAGTCCATAGGGAGTTGTGCTGCTAATCCAACCTGCCTCACCAGTGGCTCCTTGAGAGAAAGATGGGCAGTCTCCTCTCATGGGATTTACAGCCTTGGAAACCAAATGGAGGGTCAATGAGTCAATTCTGACTTGGCAGCAATGAGATGGAACTGCTACACCTGTGGATGCAATCACATTTGGGAATAGGGTTTTCTTTGTTAATGATGCCACCTTAGTGCAGCATGTATCCTAAATATAACCACTTCTGAGTGATTTAAGGAGCAACATAGACACAGAGACAAGTGAGGACAAATAGAAAAAGGCAAAAGCACACGCGAGGAGCAGAACCTCTGCGGAACTGAGGTACAGCAGGACTGCAGACTCTGAGCCAGGGACCCACCTCCCAGAGTCCACTGAGAGAGCCTTCCTCGCCTGCTGCCCTGGGTTCTGACGCCTGGTCTCTTAAACAGTGAGAAAATACATTTCCGATCTTTAACACCAGCCCCCTGTAGCCTCTGTTACAGCAGCACTAGACAACTAAGACAGTACATAAAAGGGACATGTGTCCCTAACTAACTAAAACAAACAAAACTTTTTGCTAACTAAAAGTTTTAGCAAAACTTTTGGCTAACTAAAACAAACAAAAATGTTTGGCAATACTTAACTCCTTGAAACTCTTCTTCCACCACATCAGGAATCTTTCAGAGTTCGGGGATAGTCATTAAGTCCAGTGGTCACTGCTCTAACAGGAAGCCCAGTAGTTCTAGCAAACAGGCAGATTGGGTTTTTCCCTTTCTCTACTTTTCTTTGTTCTCCCCTTACCCCATGGTGTATTTCTTTTTGATGGACCTTTTTAAAAAATATTTTAAATTGGCTTGCTTGTTGTTGAATTGTTGCTGATTGCCTTCGAGTTGAGCACGACTCATAGCAACCCTAAGAACAAAAGGCCTGAAGTCCCTCTACAACTATATAACTAATATACATCTAACAACAATCGACATTTATTAAAGTTTGTAGAGTTTCCAGAGGCATGTTGTTTAGGAAGTGGATGTCACTCCTGCTTCCAAACCTGTCACAGTATGTTATTGTTGTTATGTGCCATTGAGTCACCTGAGGTATATAGCTACCCTATCTACAGTAGATCTGAACCCTGCCTGTCCTGAGCCAGTCTCACTAATTCTGACACACCAACCCCCATCGCCCCAGTTACTGTATCAATCCATACCATCTGGGGTCTTCCACTCCTCTGCTGTCCATCCATCCTTCAAAGCATCCTTACGA